TAGAGCAACAATAAATCCCATCTCCCTGGATACCTTGGATGTGGCCAAGTCAACCTTCCAAGATAGGTGGCAGCATCAACTTACCTGGGAAGATGTTATTGTATGGAACGGAGCACTTTCACTGAGGGGCAAGTTGCCCAGGGTTCTTCTCAATCTGGGTTTCCTCCTATAAGCTTCTGTCTCTTCACTGGTGACTCACTCAGGAGTCCTCCAAGGAGGATCTTTTGTGTAGAGTTTTAGAACTTCTTGGACAGTATTTGAAAAACAATTTTATATAGCACACAACTGCTGCCAACATCATTGGTGGTGAAGGGTTGGCCTCTCACACAGTTACTGGCCTGGGAGGAACAGGGCAGGCATATTGAGGCTGCAAAGCTTAGCAGGTGGAGGAATGTCTGTACCTTGACCCTCTGCTTTCTCCCCAGGGATCTGAGCCAGACCCCTAGGCTGGTCTCCCCTGTGCCCCTCCCCTTGGCTCCCACCCTTTCTGGGCAGGGCTGTACCAGACCCAGAAGACACTGCCCCAGGGACTCATAACCTGAACGAGACAGTCCAATTATCTTCAATTTATAGAGCTCAATTGGAGTGAGTTCAGAAAAGCGCAACCCAAACAATTAAGGGACCAGAGGGCTCAGCTTCTGGGGCAAGATAAAAGGCAGGAGCTCTGAGGCAGCAGTAGTGGTTTCAGGGGGAGTGGTGACTAAAGGGGAGGGTCCATAGGAACGTCTGCCAGCAAGTGAGCGTTGAAGGGGTCCAAAGCCTGGGAGGAAGGGTGTGGAACGAGCAGGAACATGGCAAGGGCTGCAAGCTCCAATGAAGGGTAGGCAAGAGGCTCAGCGCTCAGATCCAGCCTTTGGGAGACAAACTATATTGAACAAGTAATAAACTCTGGCTTTCCTAGCCCAGGCTCTGGCTTGAAGGAACCTCAGGATGCCCCAGAAAACAGAGCAAGCAGGAGGGTGGTGCCTCTGACAGAAAGAAGCCTACACCTGGGGCCTGTTGAATGCTCAGACCCCATAAGGAAGTCATATGATGGAGAAAATGGTTGAGCTCCAAAGTATCCTGGAGCCATGATCTGTTCTAGCCATGCTAAGATCCCACAGGGAAGGATGCTCCTAACCCAACTCAATTCTTAAATTGGATTTTGTATTCCATACTTATAGTAGTCATCACCTAGTACTGGTTGGCAGGGGGCCCTGCTTCTGGACTAGGCTGGGTGACCTTAGGTAAATCTTTTCCTTTCCTCTAGATCTATTTCCTTTTCTGTCATACAAGAACCTTTTAAAACAGCTGAACCTTCCCACTTTTCATGAACTCTTACACAGAACCCTACTATATAAAACAGATCAAAGCAGCGCTTTGTGAATAAAAATGTGTTTAATGGGCTTCCTTTGTGGCTTAGTCAGCAAGGAATCTGCAAAGCAGGAGACCTGAGTTCGATCCCTGGGTCGGGAAGATCCCCCGAAGAAGGGAATGGCTACCTACTCCTGTATTCTTGCCTGGAGAATCCCATAGACAGAGGAGCCTGGAAGGCTACAGTCCACAGGATCGCAAAGAGTCATACACAACTAAAGAATTAACACTTCCCCCACTTTCCCACTTTTTTATTGAGTTCAAATTTATCTCATTTACCTTATTAGAATGTAAACCAGTCTGAATTACGAGGCAATTTTGATTAAATTAGTGATCTGAAATAAAGGGTTACTGTCTGATATCTACCAACACATCCAGTGTTTGCAGAACACCTAAAGCACATCTCTAAAGCCTGAGGCCTGCACAGAACTCTGAGGGAAAGCCATCATCACCTCAGTTACCTCTCCAGAGTCCTTTCAACTCAGACTTTTTCAGAATCTATACTGTGAGTCTCTAGAAGGCAGGTGCTCTGTTTCCTTTACCTTGCTTCTCCAGTACCTCCGGACCTTTACACTGGCCCAAGGCTTCATGCAAATTTTGAAAGAGAAAAAGGTAAAAGAAAGAAGTCTGTTGGATTGAACTGGGGACCTTTGGTTGGGTAAAGGAGGGGTACCTTGGTTGGGAGGGTGCCCTACTCGGATGCAAGTACTCTGCCCACTTTGGAGCTCCCCCTCTCCCAGATGACTGGGAGAAATGTTTTTGGAGAAGTATGATTTTTAAGTCCTGGTCTTCTGGTCATTGCTCTTGCCAATCCGTTTTCACTTCAGCTGAAATGCTCAGAAGGCTTCACTTCTAGGTGCCAAGGAGGCAGCCCAAACCTGGACTCCATAGAGGCTGAGTAAAGCCAAGCCAACCAGAGTAGATGAAGTGGCCCAGGCAGGAAGGAGCAGAGTGAAACTAACTTAAGTACACTTGGACGTGGAATAATGACTGTAGCAGTGACTTTGCCAAGTAGTTTACTAAGCAACGGTGCACTCCATCTGAAGAGGGCCAATTCTATTCCAGCAGGCAATGGGGCCCCAGTACTATCCAAACTGCTGACATTTTAAGAAGAGAGAAATATGGATTTTATGTGAACACTCCTCAACTTATAGACAATAAAAATAGTAATAGTAACAGCAAACATGCATATAGCACTTACTACGTATCAGGCACTGTTCTAGGTGCTTTTGATATCCTAACTCAAAAACTGCTGTAGATCTATGAGGTAGAGGGCTATGGTGTATCTCCATTTCACAGATGAGCAAAGTGGAGGCACAGAGAGTTTTAAGTAACCTTCCCAGAGTAATATTGAACAACGGGCAGAGTCAGGAGGCAAAACTGGGCCATGCTCTTAATGACTATATTCTCACTGAACTTTCATTTAACATTCTTATTAAACCTCTTATTGAGGAAACCAAAGTCAAATTTAAGCACTGCACAGACCAACAGTGCCAAACTGAACAAAATGTCTTTGGAAGCCTCTGATTGGAGACTTTGGCTTTAGAGGCTGTCTGGCAAGACTGGTTCTTGCTTTGTTGGTCCTGTAAACCTTAATGTTTCACTAAGCTCTCCTGTCATCATTCAGAGCCAGGGTGGGTGTCAGCACAGCCCAGGATCCAGGTAAAAGCCCCTTCCTCTACTTCACTCAAACTGCCTGCATTTTCACCCACTCTTGAAAACAGAGTGATGGTCCAGGGCTTGGGCCGGCTGGCTTACCTTTGGGTCCTCAATAGGTCACCAAACTGTGGGTAAAAGAGTGCTGGCACTGGTCTGGGAGGTGGAATTCTTGGCTTCTAGTCCTGGCCTTTTGCTCTGCATTTTATTTATGGTTTTCTTTCCTTGGGGGATGGTAGGTGTGAGGGTGGGGCTTGTAGCCTCTCTGAGCCTCAGTTTCTTCATCTAGGTAAACTCAAAATGATAATACCTAATGCACAGGGTTATTGTGAGGAGCACAAGACACTGTGTGTACATGTTCAGTGCAAATGGAAGAGGGTATTCTTAGCAGTAGAGCTTGTTTGGGGAACAGAAAGCTGTCATTTCTTTGGGGAAGCTACCCTGAGATGGAGTTAGGGAAGATGAGCTGCCTCCTCTTATCCCACTCTTCTCAGGATTATGTTTTTGATCCCAAGCTCTTTCATCTATCAGGCCACTTTTAAGACCATGAATGAGCCATATCTAACTCTGGGCACAGATTTCAAGGGCACAGGGCAGCCTAGAACTAACCATTAGTGCTTTGTTTGCCAGTACATCTGCCTTTGCCAGTTTTCCTGTTCACTTGTATGCTTTTCCTTGTTAATTCCCATGTTTATGTGCCAGGTTCAACAAGGCTAAGTTCAATATAGGCATCTCTAACCTTTACTTTGGAGAAGGAAATGGCAACCCACTCCAGTGTTCTTGCCTGGAGAATCCCAGGGACGGGGGAGCCTGGTGGGCTGCCATCTATGGGGTTGCACAGAGTCGGACACGACTGAAGTGACTTAGCACCAGCAGCCTTTACTCACGAAGAGCTACCTATAGTCTTAGCATCTGTGAATATGAAGTTACTCAAGAAAAAACTGCTGAAAGTGAGACTGAACATCATGGAGAAACCTGGTCATGCATGTCATCAACCACTTTGTGAAAGGATGGTGTGCCCTTGTTGAAAAAATGCCTCATGGACCAGCAGGAGGGGGCATAAAGGAGTGAGCAATGTGGTTGGGAAGGGGGACAGGGAGATGGCAGGAGAGTAGAACAGATCCATGAGACAAAGGAGACAAAGAGGGGGCAAACGAATAAACATGGATATGTTCTCATGCTCTAGGGCAGTGGTTCCCACCCTCTAGTTTCTAATGCCTGATGATCTGAGGGGGAGCTGATGTAATAATAATGGAAATAAAGTGCACAATAAATATAATGCACTTGAATCATCCCCAAACCATCCCCCTCCACCTCTGATCCATGGAAAAAATTATCTTCCACGAAACCAGTCCCTGGTGCCAAAAAGTTTGGGGACTGCTGCTCTAGGGGAGGCAGGTGCTCTGTTCTCTGCACTTCTCCAGCTGTGACAGTGTGATCATGAGCTAAAGCTGTTCAAACAGATGCCTATGGAGCCCTGTACAGAGCCCTACAGAGCCTCCCACTGTGTTCACTTCCCCTTCTAGCTCCTCTTCTACTCAGGGCAGCATACCAGGGGTAGGGCTTTTACTCTAGATGTAAGTTGAGGAGAGGCCAAAACAGTGAGGTCAGTGGAGGGTCTTGAAAGCCAGCTTTCCATTTTTCCAAGCAATGGGAGCCATTACATGGGCAGGATGCCAGACCGGTGCTCCAGGAGGCTCCTAGTCCTGTGCAAGAAGTCTGGGCTGCAGGGGCAGGAGGAGGCTGGAGGCAGGGAGGCCTGTCGGGAGGTAACGAGGCGCTGGGCAGACAAGGATGGCAGGATCAGTTTAGGATATATAATACACATAGAGTTATCAGATATCTGGGCCTATAGTAGGGGAGTAGAAGGGCCAAAGGAGGAGTCCCAGATGAATGACTTCTAGCTTCAGGGGTCCGAGATGTAAAGCAGGGCTGTTAACACAAACGAGGAATTGGCCCTTTCATAGCTGGGGCCTCTTTTCATCAAAAGGCTATCCCTGCATCCCTGATATCGCTTTAATTCGGGTCTGGCTGGACTGGATGGCGGGGCAGCTCAGGGCGGTGGCCGCGGGAGCTCTATCTCGTCCCTGGGGTCCAGGGAGACTTGAAGACCGAATGCGCTGAAAAGGGAGGGCGCCCCCGGGACCCCACGAGCCCCTGCATTCTGCTCGGCCCCCAGCCTCTGGCCCGCCCGCCCCTGGCCCCACTTTGGCCTGGCGGGTCGGAAAGCCGAGGAGCGCCAGAGGCAGAAGGGGCCCCCGGGGCTGGGGTGGGGGGTGGGATGGGGGTGAGGATGGGGGCTGGGGCGGGACGGGCCTGGACGTGGAGCAGCGCGGAGGAGGGAGAACTAGGCGGACTAGGAAGAGCCCGCTGGGCAGGCGCCGACGAACCCCCCGCGCCAAGGCCCGGTTCGGCGGTTGCGCCTCCGCCTCCCTGGCGCCTCCTGCCCGGGTAGGAGGAGCCACAGCGCCACCCAGCGGCCAGTGTCGGGGAACGGCAGTTAGGGCTCTTGAGTGGCCCCAGAAGAGTGGGGGGAGCTGAGTGGACCAGGGCCCCCATTCGCTTCGCTCACCAATCCACTCGGCAGGTGGCACTAAATGAATCTTCAGGTCAGCTGATAATAATACTCCTCTTAATCTCAACCATCTTCCTTGGTCCCCGTGGGCCTCCGTATAAAGTTCAAATTTCTTAGCGTGACCTTCAAGACCTTCCATATTTTGACCTCAAGCTGTGTTTCAGTCTTCATCTCTTGCCATGAACTCCACACATCCAAGCACCACTCACTCTTACCCAGATGAACCACTCACCTGCATCAACATCCATTCAGGTAGTGAAGCTTTTCTAAGGCACTGGGGAGGCAGAGAGTAGACAGAAAACTCTTGTTTACTCAGAGTTTACATTCAAATGAAAGAGAGGCAATGAACAAGAAAGATGATGTATAAACAAGATCATTTCAAATAGTTACCAACACTTGATCATGGAGAAACAAGTGGTATGATACAGTGTCTGGGGGCAAGAAGGGCAGTACCATACCTAGAAGAGTCAGGAAAAGCCTTTCTGAGAAAGTGACATGTGAGCTTAGATCCGATAACAAGAAAGAGTCAGTAATGCAAAAATCTAAGGGAAGAACATTTCAGGCTGAGGAAGGACACACAGAAAGGTCTTAAGACAGAAACAGGCTTAGTGTATCAGAGGAAAAGAAATAAGGCACAGTGACTGAAGGATACTAAAGGGAGTGTACTGGGTGATTGGAGGTAGGCAAGTGACAGGATATGTAGGGCTCTGTGGGTCATGGTAAGGGGTTTCCCATTGATTAATGTGGGAAACTACTGGAATGTTTTAGCAGGGGAAAGACATGGTCTGATTTGCATTTTTGGAAGATCACTATGGGTGGACTATGTGTGTATGTGGGGGGGTGGGATGCCAAGTTGGAAGCAGGGAGACCAGTTAGGAAGTCATTGCAGAGGTCCAGAAGTGAGTTGATGGTGGCCTGGTCTAAGTGGTGACAATGGAGGTGGGAGAAATTGTCGGATTCTAGAGGTATTTCTTTTTTTTTCTTTTGTCTTTTTTTGTTTTTGTTTTTTTCTAGAGGTATTTTTGAGTGATTTCTGTTCATGTATCTTCTTCCTGACCAACCCAGAAGTTTCTTGAGGTCACATTCCCTATCTGAGTGATCTTTGAACTCCCACTCTATACCCCTAAACAGTCTAATCAGTGCTTAGTGTTTAGTGACTAGATCTCTGTGACCCTCCGCAGAGAATGTGACAGGAGGGAATCATAATAAGATAGAAACTTTGGCCTAGGGCAGAAGTTCTAGGTCTCCTTTCTAGTTACTCTGATGCATATCTCCCTTTTTCCTTCTTTGGCCCTCAGTATCTCCTAAAAGAATCTAAGAATGTTTTTGGAGGGAAGGAAAAGCAGGGATTATGAGTTCTTCCTCTGTGCCAGACACTGCACTTAACGCTATCACATATACTACTTCATATGTTAATTTATTTAATTTTTAAAAAATTTATTTAGTTTTTATAAAAACATCTAACCCTACCCCTTCATGTTAGAGATAAGTAGATTAAAAGTCCAAAAAGGAAAAGTGACTTTATGAAAGGCAAAGTCATTATTAGCACTAAATATTCACTAATTGAGTCCTACAAATAAGTCCCTCTGCCCCCATTTCATAGCCTAATACTGTTTATCCAAACCCATTATGCTAAGGTCTTTTTCAGCCTCTTGTTAATTGCTAGTATTATGCAATGCTAATAAATTTCAGAGTGAAACTGCAGGTCTTGAAAAAGATTCAGGGTTTCATGAAGACAATGAGAGTGACATAGAAGACAATCTCTAACGTCATGTAAGGTCCTTGAAAATGGGATTTGGCAGAGATAGACCAGTCACTACCATTGTCAGAAAAGAAAATTGATCTGGGTAATGACAGGATCAAGGCTTCAAAGAGAATGATTTAACTCTTAAAGGATTACAGGAGGTCCTAGGGGTAACTGAAGAAGCCTCTAATTTTGGAAAAACAAAACAAAACTTTATGATTGTGTGGCAAAAGTCAATATTGTGTTGTCATGCACTTTGGTCAGGAAGACTGTCATCCCCCAATGATTGATTCATTCTTTGTTCAAAGAATTAGTGCATGTTTGCAATTATTTACACTTTTTAAATTTAAATGTTTCTCACCTTTTCATTTTATTTTCCAAGATAAAGTCACAGTCAAACCTTTTCCTCCTTTTCCCCTTCTCTGTTGTGAAATATTGGTCCCCACTTCAAATGGACTCATTGTAAGAGTCCTTTTTCTAGCACCACTTATCTGAGAATAACAAGGACTTCATGTAGCCCCAATCATCTCTTCATCCTGTGATTGGCATGCCTGGCTGCACATTAGAACCTCCTGTAGAGTTTGTTAAACAATACTGAAGCTGGGACCCCAACCTGGACTAATTCAATCCGAATCTCTGCTGGTGAGACCAGAGTGGAAACTCTCCAGGTGATTCTGTAGCATGGCCAGGGGTGTGACTGCTGCCACCTCTCCTGCACATGCTGAGACTGTAAGAGACTGAGGCTGCCTGCAGTTGGACTGCTCTGAAGGGAGTGCACCAGGGCCTAGGCCCAGGATGAAGGAGCAGCTGCAGGGCAAAATCCAGGAATCAAAGGGCTGGTAGGGCTGGTAGGGTCACTTCTTTGGCAAGGCTGTTGTGCCCTTTACTCTCTTGGCACTGTGGGTACATAGCCTCCCCCAGTCTCTTGCCTTACTTTCCTGGGCTTTGGTCAAGAGAGCCTGGCTCCCTCATGGACATATGGTGAGACAAAAACTTGAATGTTATAGTAAGTATATTATGGTTGCTGAGCACATGACATCATGCTATCTTGTGGACCAATAACATGTCTATGTCTTGTTACTGCTGTATTCCCAGCACATAGCATAGTACTTGACTTATAGTAATTCCTTGATAGGTATGTTTTGAATGAAAGAATGACTAAGTCGAATACAGGCAGGATGTGATAAGTACCATGATTCAGGTACAAAGTGGTGTAGAAGTACAGAAGAGGAGAATAGAGTGTTTCGCCTGGGAGAAGGGGAATAAGGAAATCTTTGTAGCAGAGGTGGCATTTGAGCTGGACTTTTAAAACTAGCTGAGGCAGTGATGGGTAGAGATGGAGAGAGGACATCCTGGTCACAAGAAGCCATGTGAGCCAAGGACAAGAGGTGAGAAGGTGCAGAGCTCATTCAGTGAAAAGTGTATGGGGTGGGAGTGCTTGACAGTCTCAGACTGGTTGGATGGGAATCAGAATTCAAAGAGCCTTGAAAGTCTTGCTAGGAAGTTTAAACTTGATTCTACCGGAAATGTGGAGCCATCTGATGTTTTTGATCATAGGTATAATATGTTCTCTTTGGGAAGATTAGATGTGCACTTTACCACAGCAGTTCTTTCACAAAATATTTATAGTGTGCCTCCGAAATTCCAAAGCATGTAGTGCTGGGGAAGATGGATCAGAATCAGAGTAATTGAACAAGAGATTAGTTGGGAGGTATTGTAGTAGACAAAGCAAAAGTTGCAGAGGGCCTGAAGTGGCTACGTGGGGAGGCAAGGGTGGGAAAGGGGAAGGATTTGATACATCACACGGGAAGAATTGACAGAACTTGGTGACTGTTTTAGGTGGAGTTCAAGGAAAGAGTTGAAAGACTAAGAGACTGATGACAATAATAATGACCCATAGTTCAGCAGCTCCTTCATGCCAGCTGTTGTGCAGAGCCCTTGATGTCTATCATCTAACTCTCAAAATAACCCGGCTAGATAAGGACACTAAGGCTCAAGGAAGTCAAGGAATTCATTCCAAGTTGTGAACTCATACACTCGGGGTCGAGAGACTGCCCCTAAACTCCATGCTCTGCTGCTTTCTGGGGTAGTTGGGGGACTTGGGTTTTCTCAGTGAAGAAATTCGGCAGCTCAGTGATGACACCAAGATTCCCTCCCAGGTCACACTCTCCCCTATCCTGGGTATGTGAGAATGTGGCTGTGGTGGAGGGCTCTGTCTGCTGCCTCTCCTCTGATACCTGAGCGCTTTCCCACCTGGGATGGGAAGATGGGCCTGGTGAGGTGGTGTGGGAGAGATGAGGCTGGGAGATTAGAAACAAAGGCTGCCATGAAGGTGAAAAACTGCTAATCCCTAGGCCATGTGGGGCCTGCATATTTAGCCCACAGAGAGGTATGTGGGTTTTTTGTTTGTTTTAGACTTGAGCCAACATTTCAACATTCAAGGCTTCACATAAAAATCTCAAGTCTTGATGTCCCTTGAAGAATGAGATGACCTGTCAACATTGGGCCCATATTCCCACAAGTCAGTCTTTGACTTGAGCCATCCATGTAGATGCTTGCACCCTGCACTTGTCACCACTTCCAGCCTTGGTGTGTCTGTACTTCAGCCCAGCCTGGCCCACTTCCTTCGCTCACACTTATCTGCCTGATCCCTGCTGGAGGTTGAATTTGGATTTCCTTCTCTCGAATGGCTTGCTACAGAGGTTACTCTTTTTTTCTCAGACTTGAGCCGACAAGCAGCAGGGCAGAGGGATCAGCATCTCCTGGTCCCGCCTCCTCTCCAAGCCACAGACATTTTCCTCGGGCAATTTTGACGCCATGGAAGAAAACCATGAAGGGAGGGTTATCATCAACTCTTTACCATTTATTTCTTTATGGGGTTAAACAAGAGCAGAGAGGCCTCTGCCCCACAATGCAACAAAACAGAAAGCGGTACACATACAGACTCTCACCGAAACACAGAGGCAGGGGTAGGGCAACAAGTGAGTCATAGCCAGGTGAGGGAGGGGGACTACTAGGAATCCGACTTGGAGACTCAGTCATAGGAACTAGTGCAAGAAAGTCCTACTCATGAAGCACAGTGTAGAAAATGGCATAAGAAAGCTGCCCAGCTCCGCTGCCTGTGACGAAGGGCAGAGGCAGCTGAAGGGGTGGTGGGAGATCTGGGCAGTGGGGTGGATGGGGACAGTCAAATGACTTCGAAGTGGAGTGAGGTGCCCCTTTCCCCTGCCACTGGGCAAGGCCCTGGGCTGGTCTGAGCCAGGGGTCTCCTGGGCACTTGGTGAGGGGGAAGTGGGGTGGGAGTCTCCAAGGGTCCATTTCCTGGGGCCCTAAGGCCCCCCCTTTACTTCCCAGTCCCTTTGCCCCTCTTGAGGATGCAGGAATTAGAAGGCAGTACCTAGGGTCTCTCACGTCTACAGAAGCATCTCTGGAAAGGAGCCAGCACCTCTTACCCTCCCCAGCTGAAAAGAGCACTCTAGAGATGGGGTATGTGGCTAGGCCTGAAATGCTGAAGGTCCAACAGGGAGCGTGTGGCCAGGGCACAGGGCCGGAGGTGGGTTGGGGGACACGCTGTGAGAAATGAGAAACCTGGTGTGGAAGGACTCTGCAGCCTCACAGAGCCTATTTGGGGACCCTGATGAGGCCCCTGAATGATTCCCTCTCTACTACTGAGGTCTCTTATTTATCCCTCAGCCAACCGGTTCCAGCTGTCCCCGTCTTTGTTTTGCCTAATGCAGTTCCAGGTCCACCACTCCCCACCCCCTACCTTAACTCACTGGCATCTCATCCCAGACACAGGCCTTTCTGGCACTGAAAGCCACTTGGCCTGTCCCAGAAACATAGTTGTGGCTCCCTTTCTTGTCTGTGCCTATTGGTTTGTAGATGTCCCAGGCCTTCCACTCCCAGGAGATCAGCACGAGGCTGATGGCCCCCAAGGGTCTCTGCAGGCCTCTTCTCTCATGCAGCACTGTAGCCTGACTAAATACTTCAAGTCTCTTGGCCAAGGGACCACAGCACATTGTCTTTATCCAGTGGGTCCTCTTGCTAGTTTCTGGACTTTCTCCAGCAAGGGGCAAGGGTGGCTGGATTAGGGGACCCACTATAGGGTGAGGAGCAGTCTGATGGTTCCACAATTAGGATAGTAACCCATGGGGTCAGGGATTGGAAGGGATGAATACTCTTTGGTAGGCTGGGAATGGGGACAGGCTGGGGATGGGGAGGCTCATCTCTGGAAAGCCCTGGGGCAACACCACCAGGGTTTCCTTCATTGAGGCCTGGGCTAGGATGAGTTGGGGGAGTTTGGGGACCCAGGCCAGGCCTGACCCTCTTGGGCTTAAGTCCCTCCTCCCCGTGGAGATCAGAAATGGAAACGTCTTTGGCCCCAAGGCCAAGATCTCCAGGGCAAGAGTGGCCCTTGGGAGTATGTGCACCTTCTGTAAGATATGGCCCTTCAGACAGTGGCAGTCTGACCATGTGCCCTCAGTCTTCGGTTTCAAGGCCCAAGACCCCAGTCCCTGTGCTCTTTTCCCCAGAGGGCTCCTTTTGCAACCTTTTCTGATTTGGGGCGGTGTCCTTGAGCCTGCTTCAACACTGATCATCTGCCTCCACAGTGCCAGGTGGTGACAGGCCATTCAGCCATCTTTTTAAGCCCTCTGTGTTCCTCTCTCCTCTCCACTCCCGCCCTCCACTATTCCTATCACCTAGGGTGCTGGGGCACATCTTAACTGGGGCCCCGACCTAGCTGCAACTGCATACACCTTGTGTCCCAGCCTGGTCCTTCCTTGTGGCAGCCCCCCCCACCCCCCCCGGCCATGGGACAAGGGGCGCTGGAGCGGAGGAAGGCCACTGCATCGTCTGCCATTGCCTGTAGGAGTATGGGCAGGAGGGAATTAAGGATCGTGGCAACAAAAGGAATGCAGAGGGGGAAAAGAGTTTCTCCCCTCTGTGCCCCCCAACATTCCCTGCAGGGCCAAGACCAGATAAACAGCCTTCTTCCCTGGGGTCAGGGCTCTAGTAGGGGTGGGCATTTCCAGCCCCCACCCCCCCTCCCCTTTTCTTTTGGCTAAGTTCCATATATGGAGCCTGGGAGGGGGGCACCTGCTGCTCCTGCCTTTTTCTCCTGGATGAGTTTTGCAGTTTCCTGGGGCCCTTTGGCAGCTCTGTTGGAGCTGCTTTTGGGGTGGGGGTTGGTTGGGGGTGATGTGTGATCCCCCATTTCCCCTGCCCCCTACCTGGTCCTACACCTCCCATGGGAGGGGCCCCCTCCCCCTCCCCCTGGGGGAGCTGGAGTTGATGTCGGTGTGTGGTGGAGGTCTGATCTCCCTCCCTGCGGTCACTCTTCCCGAGCCAGGCCCTCGTCTAGGGCAGGCAGTGCCTCCAGGCCCGGTCCCCCACCACTCTGGCTGCTGGAGAAGGACACCATGGTATGGAGGAGCACGAGAACAAGGATGTAGAGCCGGATCCTGCTGGGGCTGAGGCGGGAGCCCCCAGAAACCGGCAGCAGGGAGGGCTTGTGGCCGAGACGGCCTGGGGGCTCGTGGCGGGGATGGTAGTGGTGGTACTGTTGGTGGTAGTGGTGGAAATAAGAGTGGTGGAATTGCTGGTGGTGGGTTTTGGGGGCTTCAGACTCCTTGAACTTCTTCTTCTCCGACTCACAGGAGACCCACTGTACGTCACAGCACTTGGTTTCTGGCCGCTTTGGTGAAGTATCCAGCAACCCTGCCAATGGATAAGGAAGGCGGGGTGGGGTGCTAAGGGGGCTGCTGGCTATGCCTTTCTGAGAGAGGTGATTGTCAAAGCTGGGGCTGCTCTGGCAGTCCTGCCCAAGACTCTTCCCCCTGTCCCTTAGTACCATCCCTTTCTGGACACTATCTCCCAGGGACCCCAGATAGTTTCTCTGGGATAACTCCCTGGCTCTATTCTACTTCATCCCATCCCCACCTGGGGTCTTACTATCCACTCCGGCAGCCACTAGCTTTCCCCTAACCCAACTTCCCTGTTGTCCTCCCCGACCACAGCCCTAACCTGGTGCCTGCCTTGGGCCCCCAGCCTCCCCCCCTCTCCCAGGGCCCTGTCTTTACCTGTACAGATAAAGCCAGGGAGCCCTCCGTATACCATTTCCTCATTGTCAGGGAGGATAAAGGGGCACCGGGTCTGCACCTCCAGGCAGTATTGCTTGCAGGGCACCCAGCGCTGGCATTCCTGCTGGGTCACGCTGAAGTATTCTGAGCACAGCCAGGCCTTGTAGACAGCCTGTGGGGAGAGGAAAGAGCATCAGCCCAGGTGCCAGCCCCTTCCGGCGTCAGAGGAAAGTGATGAGGAGGGGTGTACCTGTAGTCTGTTGGGGGAGGGTATTGTGTGCTTACTAAGCCAACCCCAAGATCCAGGGGCTGGGGAAGAAGGGTTTGGGTCAAAACCACTACCTCCTACCCCAAAATGTCACATTTCATAGCCAGAACTCAGAGTCCCCAGTCTGCAGTAATCGAAGACTTTTAATTTATTCACTGGTAAAATCACAAAATGACTCCTGTATCTGAGCTGGAAAAGGTCTTACCAGTCATCCCAACCAACTGCACCATTTTATAACTGGTCCCAAGAGATGTCCGGACTTCTCTGAGGTTACTTATATTGAGGTAAATTTCACTTGCATTCGATTCAGCAAACATTTCTTTGGCTGATGGTGTTAAGTTTCTAAACTCAAGAAAAGAGATGGAGAGGTTAATCTTTGCTCTATCTCATTAAGGTGTTGTGTGGATCAAATAATATGACACGTATGAAAATGTTTTGTATATTCTATAGTGCAGTACAAATGTGAGGGGTTATTTTTTAATAAAAACAGGAATCTGCCTTATTAAGCACCAGATGTGCCTTCAAGCTCTACTTAATCCATGTTCTGTCCTGTTGGCTTTGGCCTTGGAGTGGAGCAGACACCACATTTCATTTGCTTCAAACTTTGCTTGGCCATTTCACTTCACAGGTATACTTTCTGCCCCTCATCTAGCCCTCTCTTACCAGGCACTGGGTCCTAGCTAAGAAAGGTTTCCTGCTCTGTACTCTTTGGCTATCATCAAGACCAGAGTTCCTCAATGGTGACACTCCTGACATTTTGGACTGCAGGATTCTAGTGTGGGCTGTTCTGTGCACTGTAGAATATTGAGCAGCATTCCTTGCTTCTACCCAGCAGTTGCCAGTCACATCCTCCACTCCCCCCCCCACCCCACCATTGTCTCTGCCCATTGCCAAATATCCCCTGAGCAGGGTGGGGGGCAAGGGACACAAAACCATCTCCCATTGAGAACCACTGATCTAACTTCTTGCTCCTGAAAGTGTGGACCTGGACCAGCAGCATCACCATCACCGAGGAGCTTGTGAAAAGTGCAGATTCCCAGGCCCTGCCCCAGACCTGACAAGTCACACCTGCATTTTAACAGGATGCCCAGAGCTCTGCCCACATCCAGTCCTCATGTCTTCAGTTGCTCCCTGTAGCAATGGCTCTCTGACTTCAGTGTGCCTCAGAATCCCCTGGGATACTTGTTAAATAGGCAGAAGGCCCCCTCCAATTCAGCTTCAAGAGGACTGAGGAGAGTTCAGGAATCTGCCTTTGGAACAAGGGTCGAGGTCATTTTGCTTCCAGAGGCCTTTCCACCACACTCTGAGCAACATGGTCAGAGTTTCTTACACAGACATTAAACATTTACACTCAAATGCAAATAACTCCATTGTGAACCTGGACTTTGGCAATGTAACCCCACACTGCCTTTTCCAAAGTGGGGGCAGGGGTGTGGTGGTGGGGGATGGTGGTAGTGGGTTGTGGTACAGATTATCCCCCTGAGGAACACAGCTTTGCTATCTCACTGGCCTCTCAAATTTAACATGTTCTAAATCTTAAAATTCAGTTCCTGTCTTCTTTTTTTTAACTCCAAATCTGCCCACACCACTAAGTCTTGACCACTTCAGTTAAGTGTCACAATCATGCATCTGAATATTCAAGCCAGAAACTTAGGTGTCGGCCATCATGTCTCTCTTAATAGGCATTCCCACACACAGTCCATCAGCAAGGCATGCCAAGTCTCCCTCTATGTCCATGACTCTGTGCAGGCCATTGTCATCCGTCACCTGTATGACAGTCTCCTATGTGGCCTCGCTGCCTCCAGTTTTGCTCTTTCCAATCTACTGTTTACACAAGAGTAAGAGGGATCTCAAAATGACATTTGATCATGTTACTCCCTTGCTTCGTATCCTTCAATGCATTTACAATAAAATCCAAACTTTCAACCACAGACTTCAAATTCCTGCATAACTTGGCCTCTGTCTGTCTCTCCAACCTCATTTTCTACCTCTCCCTTCCAGCTCATCATGCTCCACATGCTGAGGTTTTCTTTCTTTTCCTTGAACATGCCCTACTTCTTCCCACCTTGGGGCCTTGGCACACACTGTTCTCTTGGCCTGATATGCTCTTGATTCCCCATTTCTGGTCTGCCTGGGTCCTTCTCAACTTTGAAGCCTCAGTTCAAATGTTATCTCCTCAGAGCGGTCTTTCTGACCACTCTAGCTAGAGAATGACCCCTTATCATTCTTTTCCTTAACTGTTTCTTTCTTAACTGTTTCTTTGTTTCTTATTCTTAACTGTTGTTTGTTTCTTAACTGTTTCTTTGCCACAAGTATGAGTTTGTCTGCATCCTTGTTTTGTTTTTCTCTGTCAGCCTCACTAAAATGTGAGTTGCATGAAAGCAGATGTAGGCGTGTCTTACTACCATTATGTACTCAGTGCAATATATGTAAAAAAACACAACTGTTAATGGAACGAACCAGACAAGTATAGGAGGACATGTCCCTACTCTCAGAGAAATTCCGGTTTCATCTAACTTGAAACTATGGCACATTTTCTATAAGAGAAGTTAAATCACTGGCCATGGGAGGGAAGCAAATAGGAAAGCTGGGAAAGATTTCAATAAGGGGATAAGAGTTGAGCAGGGATTCAAAGTAGGATTTTAGATGGGAAAGGCAGAGATGGGACAGAGACAAAAGGGCATTTTGGACTGAGGCAACAGCTTAAGCAAAGGTACGGACGTGAGTGCAGTGTACAATGTTTTGGAAGAATGGAGAATGGTTTTGTATGAATGAAGTGCAAAGGGTACCTATTTCTTGTAAACAGACATTTATTTCCAGGTTTTCACTATCACAAACAATCTATACACATCTCTCTTGAATACTTGTGTTATATTTTATTTACATAAACTCTTAAGAGTGAAATTATTGGCATAAAAGGTCTGTGCAGTGGAGTGAGAAGGGAGTGGAAGGAGGGTGGAAAGCGACAAGTAAAGGTAAGAGGCAGGGGAAGAGGGAGCTGGAGTGGTACGAGAGGGGCTCAGGGGTTGGAGAGAATGGTAGTGGGGTCAGCAGTACAAGGGAATAGGAGAGGAAGAAAGAGAGGGTAACAAAGAGTAGGGAGTTGGAGGGGGAGAAATGGTGGT